AATCTTTAAGCTTCTTTATGTAGGTGCTTTAAGAAAATGACCGTTACAAATCTCTCAGTATCCTTATGGAAAAAATAAAGACTTTAGAAGGGGGTTGAATGGTGTCAATCAAAAACTCAATACCGTTTTGAAATAGTAAAGTAGTATCAAGATCTTAGAAGTGCAGATGAAGAGATAAAATCAAAGAACACCCAATATTTTTATGTTGGTTCATCTCAACCATTAAGACTACATTTAATTCTTGATCAATGTAACATTTAGAATTCTCTAAAATAAAATAATTATTTTTAATAAGAATTATATTACAAGCTTGATTAATTAATTAGTTGATTAAGATTATAATATAAATAATTTTTTATTAATTAAATAAAATAATAAGGGAGTGTAGAAAGGAATGAGAGTTGGGTCAGACTCTAGGCCCAACTTAAAGGTTATTAGCAAAATAAGGGTTAGATTTTATTTATGCATCCTTATGAAACTATAAGAGAACCTGTAAAGGGAAACCTATAAAAGGTCATTAAAGGGAATGTAGAGTAGTGATTGAGGCTATAAGGAGTGTATAGTACTGCATAATCATCACTCAAGGTAAGAGGGAATAAGATTGTTACATTAATAGGTATATATGAGGTATAGGGGTAGAGAGGCAATCCTTAAGCCTCTTAGGTTGTTTATTTAAAATTGTGTAGATGTTTATTAATATGATTGAGAATCAGTTGTTGTTCTAGTATGCCAATTTGTATTGAATTCTGATTAAATTGATATGATGATGTATTGATGTATTTTGAGGGTTAGGGTTATGATATGCATGAATTTGGAGCTTTAGGCTTGGTTGGATGAATTGGAATGATTTGATGATGTTGTGTTGTATGAATATTGATTAAATGTTTGACTAATTGGATTGTAAAAGAGACAAGTGGATATGTGTGGATGGGTTTGGAGAGAATCTAGATTGCAAAGCTTACAATTCTACATGAAGTGTAGAATTTGTAACAGCAATGGGCGTGCCTTTATGCCACTTGGCATAAAGGCACAATTATTCACACTAGTCGTGAAGGGGGTCACGATAGGCGTGAGGATGTTAGGGAGGCCTTTGACTTCCATATATAGGGCATGAGGTGTCTTGCCTAGTGCCACATTGATTTCATATTAAGAAAAGGTAACATCAGGTGTGACTTTGATCATGCTAGGTGAATTAGTTCCAGAGGGATCTCAAACCTTGTTATGTAAGGCAAAGTTAACCTCAAGTCAAACATGAAGTTGGTAGAAAGATCCATAATATCACTGTTGACCTTGTTGGGTGCTTTTCCTATTTCGTAGTTAATTGAGTTATATAAATGAATTAATAAATAGAGGAACTGTGATGAATGATTAAGTGTTGTAATTAAATGAATAGAATTAATGAGTTATACTATAAGATATAAACATATAAAAGGGAGAAATAAAGACAGTTATGAGTGTAAGAGGTTAAAGTCAATAATAAGTTCTTATGTGTATGAATGATGAGGATGTATGCTATTGATGTATAGAATATATGATGTCATGATTGAGATGGTATGATAATAATATTATAATGATGGATGTTATAATATGTGATGAATGAATGAAATATAGTAGTGATGTATGTACAAGGTACAATTGATAAGAATGTGTATATGGCGATGTGTGAAACTTGTAAGTCCAGGTTGTAGTTGGCACTGATGAGACCAAAGCACAACTTAGTGTGAAGTAGATAAGTCCATGGTTGTAGTCTTACAACTGTGATTGATGATTATTGCATGTGTGTGATGATGTGGCATTGTTGGCAAAGTCCATGCATATATAATTTGTTTACAGGATAATGTGAGTCTATGTGATGGAATCCTTGTTAGCATTGATGAAAGAATGTTGATCAATGAGAAGGACTCCCTGACTCCTTGGATCAAAGCTCTTCAAGGGCTAGGCGTGTTCTCGGAAGGATGACCAAAAATTAAGGATGGGTGGTAAGTGTTTGATGAAAGGCTTGAGAGGTACTCTAGGGTTTGGCTCACTCCATGGGTGATGAAGGCCACTCCTAAGGTTCTTACTCAAGGTGGAGATAGGTAGGGTTTGACCGAAATTAGACCAAGGGAGACTAAGGAAAAATATAAAGGCACAAAGACTTTCTTTATATTCAATATCCAAAGTGTTTACATGAGGTGCTCCCTAGGGTATTTATAAATGATGGGTGAGGTCATAACCCTACGGATGTGTGATGACTAGGTCATCATTGGATTATCATTCCCGCCTCAAAATGAGAAGGAAATGCACTCCAAATGACACTGACATGTAACCCTAAAAGTGTCGCACTTGCCTAGGCTAAAATATGGCATCCTTTTGGGTTAAGCTAAGCTACATCTAGGTGCATGATGGGAGTATGCAACCTAGGTGCCCTTCCACTTGGGCCAATGCTCCACTAAGGCCAAAAGACTCCCTTGTTGAGATGATGGAGATCATTGAGATGACTTGAAGACTCCTCAAGAAGCTTTACTTTTGATGATGTTAATGTATAGATGGTGTTTAAGCCTATGCAAAAGGATATTATATTGATTGTAATAGATATAGGCTTGTGTGTCTGTTTGTTTATGATTGATGATGATGATGATGAATGCTTAATTCAAGAACTAATCAAGTTTTTTTAAGAAACCAAGAATTTGATTTTTTAGTATTTCCATGAATAAATATAAAATAATAGATTATCTTGAACAGGGTAATTTACTACCAAGTGTTTAAATATAGAAATATGACTTGATTTAAACAAGAGTTTTCAAGGTAACATTATTAATCAATTACCATTCAGGGTAATAGATTACCAAATCTGTTACTGGAAAAGGATATTCAAATGTCCTCTGTGTTAATAGATTACCACGTCTGTTACTAGAAAATGTTTTTCAAGTACTCTTTGAGGTAATAGATTACCAAACTTTTTAATAGATTAAAATAGACTCTCTTGCTTGAAACAAGGCTAAAGAATCAAAGTTTTTATCGTGTTAATCGATTACTTCAAGAGATTATCGATTACCACAAAATGAAAAGCAATCATGGATCTTAAAAAGCTCGAAATAATTGATTACCATATCCCGTAATCGATTACCCTGGAGATATTTGTGTTTCTGGTTCATTTTAAAGAGCTAGTAACAGATTACCATATCAGGTAATAGATTACCTCTGTTATTACTCTTTATAATTGAATCACGTCTTGTACTCTATAAAATCAATCTTTTTGAAATTTTAAAAGAGAACTTTTAATACATTTTGAAAATATTTTGAAAGAAAAACATTTGAGAAAAAGATGACTTTTAGAAACAAGTTTTAAGGCTTATCAAAGAGTTTTTCTAAAATTTCAAGAAGTGCAAAGATAAAACATGAATTCTTGAAAGAAAAAATTCAAGAAGTGTATTCAAGAGTGAAAGATCAATATATACACGAAATTCGGTGATATCTTTCTGATCTTTAAACTTGTATTTTCGTTTTGATTGGTGTATCTCATGAGATAGGGTGTCTCAACAAGAGATTTTGAAATCTTGAATAGGGTTTCTCAAGTAAGTTCTGTAGGGTACAAAAATTTTGTTTGTTTTCAATCTTGGGGTGTCAAGATTGATGTTTGTTTGAATTCTTGTAATATTTTGTGTGCAAGGTGTTTGTAAACAATATTATAGTGAATGATCTTTAATTTAGTGGGGTGCTAAATCAGGAAAAACTGGATGTAGGTCAAGTGGATGGTTGAACCAGTATAAATTTTTGTGTTCTTTATCTTCTAACCCTTATCTTTAAAGAATCTTGTTAATTTCTTGTTTAAAGAATATAAAGATTTCTGAGATATGAAATTTCAATTGCAGTACCAACTCTAATCTTTATTCTTGTAATTGAAATTTATTAAAAAGAAGGTAATATAAAATCAACCTTGGTTACAAGTGATTGTTTTGCTGCATTAACGTTGATATTCTGATACGTTGGTAATAAACCTTGTAATCTTTTGTTCTATGTTAATTCAAATTGAGTAAAGGTTGTATTTTAGATATCTTGATAGGTCTTTATCAAGAATTGTCAAAAAAGTGAGTCATCTTAGGATAGAATCTATTCAACCCCCCTTCTAGATTCTTGTAAATTGGAACCAACAGAGTTGTAATTTTAGTGGTTGTTGGACTTTAATTATGTTTGATTGTCAGAACATTATTAATTAAGAGGTTGTGTCTTATTTTGATGCAAATAATAATTTATATGTTTTTATTCACACAATAAAGTGATGGATATTTAGTGAAACCTTTTTTTTAATTATTAATGGAAAAGTTTTTTATAATTACTTTCATTTTATCTCCAAAATTATTTTTATATATATTTATTTATTTAGGGTAGAATGGTGTCACACGGAGACTATAAAATAGATATAAAGTATTTGCTTAAGAAAAAAATGTCATTATTTTCATCATAAATAATATAAAAAGATAATAACGTACTTTATTAGTAAAATTATAAAAAAGATAAATAAAACTGAAATATGATTATCTTTACAAATAAACTCCTATATATAAACAATTATCTTAATTATTGTAACATTAAAATAAAATAATACATATTTAAAAAATTAAACTTATGAATTTGCATTAAATATCGTTGAATGTATTTATTATTATGGCCAAATTAATATTTTATTTAGGGAAATAAGCAAAACATTCAAATTAATCTTATAGTTAGCAAATAAAATCTGCATTAGTTGATACGGAATAAAATTTGCATTAAATATTATTGAATGTATCTATAATTAATTATGGTCAAATTTGGAGAATATTTGGGATTTTTTTTTTATGGAAGTAAACAAAGCATTCAAATCCTAGATTAAATGCAATAGATTTTATACCAACAAATCCATTTGCATTAAATTAAACCTCAAGCCTTGTTAACTATAAAGGTGTGATTTGCATCATCGATCACTCCCAACAGTCAAACTAGATAACAAAAGAAGAAAAAAAAACAACAACAATACAATGATTCACAACCACTCTTCTCTTGTGTTGGTGTTCCTCCTATTCGTTGCATCCTCGTACGCAATCCCAGTTGAGAAAGAGAAAGAAATTTGCAAGCAAACCAAAAACCCTTCATTTTGTTTCTCTCTTCTCAACTCACAACCCAATGCAGACCTTGCTGGTCTAATCCAATTCACCATCAAAACAACACGTGCCAATGTCACCAACACAATCAATTTAACCAAAACTTTGATTGCCAAAAGTGCTAGTGATCCTAACGCAACAAAGCACTACAAATCTTGCTTGGATCACTTCAATGATGCCCTTGACAACGTTGACTACACTTTGGAGTTGTTCAAGAAAGGAGATTATGGAGGTGTGGGTGTGGCCATGTCTGCAGTGGGAACTGATGTTGATGATTGTCTTTCAGGAGAGTCTCCATCTGATCCTCCTTATAATGACCCCTCCCAGCTTCCTCAGTATGGTGCAGTTGTTGAGTTGCTTGCTATTATTACCATTATTATATCCAAGTCATTGTTTCATTAGCAATGCTTTCAAGTTTAAAGGAGTTTAAGGTGTTGCTGTGGAGTTAACTTTTTTTAATGAGAGGTTGTTCTTCACCGGCAATATTTTATTTGGCTTTTTTGTTTTCTTTTAATTTATTCAATAACGGGATTTAACGCATGTTACATCCGTATTAATAAATTGTTGATTCGAGTAGTAATGACTTGGTTTTTTAAAATACCATATTTGAATTTTGTGTATGGGAAGATGTGATTGGGTGGGAAGATCGATTTCCCTAAAAATAAATTAGTTAAATTTTATGATAAAGATTAATTTTTAACAAAATTGGTGAATATTTCGTATTAATAATATGTATAAAAAATATCATGTTATGTATCAACATATATTTGGTTATGAACTCAGCAATATTTTTATTTTATTTTAAATATTGACAAATTTTGTATCAAAATTTTATGTTTTAAAGTTAAAAAGGATTCAAGTTAAGTTAAATTTCAATGTTTTTTGAAGTTTTGAAATGTTTATTGGTAAAATAATTAAACTATTTCACGACCATATTGTAAATTAATATTAATAATTTCATAATATAAGTTTACATATAATATTTTAATCATTTAAAATCTAAAAATTCGTTAAATTAGAAGTAAATAAAATTAAATATTAACTTTTAATGAGTTAGAAACTTATAATCTGTTAAGATCAGGTGTCAAAGTTAGCAAATTTATATCTTTAATAACTTTTTATAGAATATAAATTTAATCAATTCAACCATTGAATTATTTAATATTATAGTTATGATAATGTTTATCAAATTTCACATAATTTAGATTTTTCTAGATATATTATAACACAATGAATGTTAACTTATGCTTTGAATATCATATTAGTTAAAATAAAGAGATATGATTGATTACCAAATAATTTTATAATTGTATGAATTTTTTATAATTGATCTAATTGATAAGAACATCAAATACAATAGTTAGATTAATTAATTTGTATTCTATAAAAAAAAAAGGTTCACGTATTATTTTGTTAACTTTGACACCTAGCTTCAATGGATGTTGACCTTTTTTTTATTATATAATAGATAACTTATATTTAATCTGTTATAGTATTTAGTATTATCTTTTTTATTTAAGAAGAAAAATAAACTTTTTAGTAATATGTTTTGAAGGTAACTTTGATATATATGTGTGCATGTGATGATAATAACAACATTGTTAGAGACAATGGGTAGTGGTGATGATTGCAATTGAAGGCATAAAACTTTTTATTGAATAAATAAAATTATCAGATTAAATTAAATGGTTAGTATTTGGTGTGAAATTAAAATTTGACATTTTTGGTGTCATTTGATCTTATCCTTATACAAATAAGGGTTTATCGATGAAATAGTAAAATTACATTTTAAACAATTTTTTTATCAAACACAAATTTAATCGATTTAACTATTCTACGTAATGTTTTACTAATTAAATTAACTATACAAAATTTCATATAATTCTAATTTTCTTTATTTTTTGATATTTTATATTTAAAGGATAGTTATGTATTTGAAAATTTATTATATCAAAATCCTAGTATATAATGTGTGTATTTTTGTTCTCCTTTTCTTTCCATCATTTGAATAGACCATAAGTATAGAAATGCAAAATCATATAAGATGAATGATCAATTTTTTTAATAATTAATATAAAGAATTTTTTCACTATTAAAAATAGAAAAATCATTAATTATTTTTCAGAATATGAAATTTGTAATGAATAATAATGATATTTAAAGTTTCAAATAGTATATCAAATTCTTAGTATTATAAATTTCTTTTTATAAATATTGTCTTCACAACTTAAAATTTTTGAATTCATCATTGGTCATCATATCTACTTTTTAATGTATAAAATGATATTCAAAATACATGTCAATATTTATTGTTAAAAAATATATCTAGAAGAGTTCAAATCACTTGAACATTGATATGTGTGGGTGTAATATCATCAATACAACAATTAAATTGATTAAATATACATTTTATAAAATATTATTGAAGATATAGTTTCACTAATTTGACACCATGGTGTTAACAATTCTTAACCCCTTTTTTAAAAAAGAAAAATATAATATTTCTTTGTAGAGACAATTTTTTTTATAATGTGTTAAAAAAAAGCATAAATATATATGTATTATAAAATTATAATTGATGATAAAAAAATTATTGTAATCAACAAATTATTGTAAAAAATATGATAATAAGTTATCGTAAATTACTAAATCAATTGCTATAAATAATGAATAATTTGTTAAAAATAGGACTATTCACAACATGCTATAATTTGTTAAAAAAAATAGATAATTTAATGGGTGGCTATTCACAACATTAGAAATAAATTTTTTTTTGTCTTAGTAATTAATCGGAGTATTATGGTCCACTTAAAATTAGAAGAAGAAAAAAATCGATTACACACATTATATCTCCATGTATAAATTATAATAATTATAGATATTATCTTCACTACCTTAATATTTAAGGTAATATAAAATTTATTATCATTGTTATCTTTATTAATATAATACAAATTTTGAAAAATCATTATAAATTTGTGATAATAAACAAAAAGTTACAATAATTAGAAGAAAAATGTTACATCAAATTTAATAAATTAATTAGAAAATTATATATAAAAAATTATACAATACAAGACTTGATGATTAAATTAATTAATTTAATCAGAATATATATTTGCTGTAATTCTCTTAATTAAATATATCAATGCATTTTTATGAATTAAATAAAAAAATTGATAAAATTTAGGTAAAATAAATAATATATAATAATATCATGTGGCCTTTACTTACGTAACAAAAACTTCTTTTGTGATATATAAATAATTTTCTTAAAAAAATGTTTATTACCTGTAAAAGTGATACCCAACTTAAATTAATCAGAACATTGGATTTGGTTATAGGTATCAAAGAAAGTAATATATAAAAAATATAAATGGGTTAAATAAACATTGTTATATATTGACACCCGAAATCCAAAGAGTTGGCATAGAAATAATTTCCCCCCTCATCATATTAAGTATCATATGTTTATTGATGTTCTTAATGATTAATCTCCACCAACCAAGTATTCACCTTTAGTTAAAAATATTTGTCAAAAATTATTAGTTTCCACCTTTGTCAACTATGAGATTAGGTCTTGTGTGTGAAAATTTCGACGTAATTTATTCTTTTTTAATAGTTGTGTGTGAAATTTCGGTAATTTATTCTTTTTTAAGAGTGATAAACACAGTGATTATAATGGAGAAGGAATGATATTCCGTGTTTTTTTTTTTAAATATAAATAATTTATTTTACTTATTATATTTTATAAATGTTTATGAAACTGTGTAGACACACTTATAAAATATCATATGAATAGGTCATAAGATGTTTTGATCTTATTTTAATAAGTTGTTTAGTATAATTTATTATTTAATTTATACAAAAATTTATTAAAAATAGTTTTATATTTGTTCATTACTTCTTTTAGAGATTTTTGTTTCTTCCTTCAAAAGTTTTTGTTCCTCTTTATTTTTTTTTTCTCTTCTTCAATTATTTTAATATCTTCCCCCAAAATCCACATTCCCGAATTATAAAAAAAAAAAAAAAAAAAAAACTTCAAAAATATTTTTTTTATCTAAAATAATATATATGAAATTATTTTGTTGTTAATATTTATACAATATTTTTTGTAATCATGATTTTATAAAATATATAGAATTGATTTTAAACTTTTAAAATTTATGATTCTTAACTTTTAATCATTGTTATATATAATTTATTTTCTGATATTTTATTAATAATTTTATTTTCTTATAAACTAAAATTAGATGAATTGTACTATAGTAATTTTTTTAATATTATTATAATGTAAATATCATTTTAAAAAATTATTTAGTTATTTTTTTATTTTTTTATTTAGTTTAAATATTTTTTTTTATCCTTGTAAAATTAGGAAATTTTGATTTTGATCTTTATAACTTTTATTTTTTTTTCTCATTCTTCTAAAATTTTTAAACATTAATTTTGATTCTCATAAAATATAAACTTTTGTTTGATCCTATAAAATACTTTTCTTTATTTTCATTGCTTTAAAATTTATAGCCATTATTTTTTGTCATTAATAATTATTTTAAAGTAGATGAATAATAGTTATTTTAAGAATCTATATGAATTTTTAAGAGTATCAAATATCAACATGATATCACCTGATAGTGGTATATAACAACTAGGATATTCACTTAATCTTTTAACAAATATAGGAACTAAAAACAACAGTTTCAATTTTATAAGGATAAAAGATAAAAAAAAAAATCACGATGACTAAAATAAAAATTAGTTAATTTTGTAGGAATTAAAAAAAAAATTTTAAGTCTTTTATTTTATTTTTAATCAAAAATATTTAACTTGTATTGTTAATTTTTAAATAAGATAAATGATATATCCAAACACTTTAAAATTGTATAAATTATTTTTTTTTCTCCAAATTATATAAATGTTTTTTAACATATATATTAAAATGTCACAAATTATTAAATTTGAAGCACTTATAATAATATGTTATTATTATATAAACAAGATCTTAAATATCTTGTTTGTTAAAAGTGAACTCATATTCACACCTTTTTTTTTAATCTTTTCACTCTCCAATTTTTCACTAATGATTAAAAAAATATTCTCAACAAAAATTATTTCTATTTTGTATCTTGTAAAGCCATTTCGTATTTTGACAATATTTTATTAAGTATATAATAGAAATTTTTGTTATGTATCTTAATATAACAGAAACTAATTTCTATCCTATTAGCAACACTGAAGAAAAATTGCAAATGAAAAGATGGAGGAGAAGCAACGAGGGAGTGAAACTCGCACAAAAAAACAATCAATATTGACAGATCAGAAAGAATAATGCTCGTAAAAAAGAAAGTGGGATAATCTCTGAAAATGATGAAAAGGTGGGGTTTGTAAGAGTGAGGGAGAATTACGTAAAAGGATAGAATATAAACAAAAAAAGAAGGAAAAAAAAAGTGAAGGTGAGAAGATAATGAGATTATTATTACTGGTAGGTAAAAGTTTCTTTGAATACACATGTCTGTAGAAATAGTGAAACACACTGAGTTATGGACGATTTACTATGGTTCAACGTCGATGTGAGAGAAGTTTTTTTTTTTGGACAAATTTTAGTTGAGTCTGATTTTTTTAAAATTATGAAATTTTTAAATGATGTGTGTTATAGATATTACCCTTGTTATGTCTTAAATAATAAAGTCTTAAGTTTAGTGAATCAAGATTGGAGGGTGATCTGTTGTTATATTTTTTTGAAAAGTTAATCAAGTAATTGATGTTTTAGTCAAATCGGATGGAATCATAAATGATGGATTACATATTTTTAAAAAAACTTCTCCCGTGGATATAAATTTTACTTTTTTGTTGATATTTCAGCTATATTTTTCTTTCGAGATTTTTAATTTTAGACATTAAGGGGTGTATTGGATTAAGATTTTAAAGGATTTTTTTAGTTAAAAAAATCCTGCAAATTTTAAAAAATTTTGCAGGATTTTCATGACTTTTAAGATTTTGTAGGATTCTTCAAGACTTTAAATCAGGATTTTAATGGATTCTGTGGGATTTTATAGAAATTTCGTGAATTTTTTACATATGATAAGATTTCAAAAAAAATTTCATACATTCAAATTTAAAAAGAGTCAAAGACAAAAATAATAAAAAATAACAATGCTTAGATAAATAATAATAATAATAATAATAATAATAATAATAATAATAATTCTGTATAATATCTTATCCTCTTAAATAGCATTCACCTACATATTCATAGCTATACTAGTTCTCCAAATATTAGCGTCTTCTCGCTCTTACTCCTGGGTTTGAATAATAGGCTCAAAAGTATGATCTTCATTAATCGGTATTGTTGAAGATGAAGGTTCGTCCACCGCTTCAATTGAAAATTTATCAGAACGACATTCTTTACGTAGAAAGTTATGTAGTGTTGCACATACTAACACGAGTTCTACTTGTGTTTTAAATAAAAATGGATGTGCTGACTTAAAAATCATGAACCTTGATTTAAAAATACCAAATATTCTATCAATCACATTCCTTAAAGACGCATGACAAAGATTGAACAATTTTTTCTCAATTTCAGGGTCATTACCCTGACCTACAAAATCTTGTAGATGATATATTACACCTCGCAATGGAGCTAAAAATTGACGTCGATTAGGAAATCCACAATCCACCAAGAAATATTTACCTAATTACATATGCAATATATATAATATTAGTATAATAATAATAATTATTATTATTATTATTATGATTCTTATTATTATTATTATTATTATTATTATAATTATTATTATTATTTAAAGAATAAGCATTTACCTTGAGTCACTTTAAGTCCATTCCTCCTTGTTATAGCATCATTTAGTAGCTTAGAATCATGAGCCAAACCGTCCCACCTACTAAGAATGTACGTGAACTCCAAATCAAAATTACAAGCGGCTAATACATTTTGTAATATCTTTTCATGATGATTACAATAACTACTTACATCTCGCCCCCTCACTATTCTTGGAATATGTGTCCCGTCAATAGCTCCAATGCAATCCTAAAATTTAACATATATAACACTTCATTGTACGAAAAATATAAATATAGTAGTGTTAAATTTAATTATAATTTTTATTCTAAGATAATTAGTACATACCTTGAAGAAAGGGAAGAACCTTGTGCTTTCTCTAATTTTAGCTAGCACAGTTGATCCTAGTTTAGCCACCAAAATAGGTGCTATCGTATTCAAAACCTTCAAAATCTTGTGAAAATTTTCACTTGTAGCAAATTGTGATCGGTCAAATGTGTTACGAATTACACAATATCGAGTATTCTGACCAATAACTTTTAGGAATGATGCAAGCATTTCTTCAACACAAATATGTTGTGTATCCTCTAGAGGTGTTGTGAGACCCGTAAATGATATCCACCTCCTTTCCCCCTCCCCCCAACTCTCATTCAAAAATTCTCTCCTTCACTCTCTTTGTCTCTTTCACCCTTTTTCCTTGTTCTTGAACTTTGGTGGTACTTTATTTGAATTGAAGGTGTTGAGCTTGGTGTGGAAACTAGTTGAAGATTTTCATTCTCCTTTGGTCTCCGTCCGTTCTCTCTTCCTCTTCTCCGTTTCCTTTCCCGAAGCTCGGATTTTTGGCCGAGGTAAGGGAAGCTAGTATTTTTGTTTCTTTTTCACTGTTTTTGGCTGTGGACGAGTTCTAGAAACTCATTGGATGCTTGTTGATGGCTGGTTCGTGGCTGGATTGAAAGAAAACTTGTTTTTTTGGGGTTTTGGGGTTGTTGAGAAATTTTGGGGAAGATCCTTGATCTGTTATTGCATGTTGAAAAAGGTTGTATTTTTGGACTCTCGGATGAAAATGTAGAAATTTGAACCGATTGCATGTGAAGTTTCTGGTCATTTTGCAGATGTTTGAAGAATTTTTCGAAAATGGAGGGTTGCTGCGGAGCTTCGCGCTGAGCGCTGTTCATCGCGCTGGGCGCGTGGCCACCAGGGGACCCCATTTGGCCAAGCTCGCCGGGCGCGATGATGAGTGCGCCGGGCGCGCTTGAGACTTGTTTTTGGGTTCTTGAGGTTGCGGTGAGCGCGACCCTTGTCGCGCTGGGCGTGAGACTCCCTAGGAGTCTCTGCCTTGTGGGCGCTGGGCGCAAATTTGAATTGCACTGGGCGCAAGAACAAGGGAGGTCTCTGCCCTTCCCGCTCTGGGCACGGGTTTGGGCACGCCGGGCGCGCGGGGCCCTTGGGGTCTCTGCCTGGCAAGCGATGGGCGCAATTGGTTATTGCGCCAAGCGCGAGGGAGCCTTGGGTTCTCTGGCTGAGTCCCGCCGGGCACGGGCACACCTGTGCTGGGCACGCTGACCCCCTGGTGCTCTCTGGTTGTGTTGCGCTGGGCGCAACCACGTATGTGCCGGGCGCGGAGATGAGATTGTTGTGTATGATGTTTTATGTTGAGTTGAATTGAAATGGAAGGTTATGAAATGATGTCTAGTAGATAATGTTGTTGTTGATATTGAATTGTATCTGGTGAATGTGTTGAGAAGTGGTGTTGTGTTGTAGATGATATGTTGAGTTGTGAAGCAGTTGTGTTGAGTTGCAAGTTGATATGTTGAGTTGTATAAGTTGTGTTGTGTTGGAATGTTGATGTGAGTTGATGTAGGCCGCAAGGCTGAGTTGTTGTAGGCCGCAAGGCTGAGTTGTTGTAGGCCGCAAGGCTGAGTTGTTGTAGGCCGCAAGGCTGAGTTGTTGTAGGCCGCAAGGCTGAGTTGTTGTAGGCCGCAAGGCTGAGTTGTTGTAGGCCGAAAGGCTGAGTTGTTGTAGGAGATCTCCGAGTTGATATGCGTGACGACGCATTGCATGCTTATTGATGATCATGTTGAAAACCAGCGGAATGTATGTTGATGAAGTGTTGATAATTGTAGTTTTTATATTTCCTAAACCTTTATATATGTTGTTCCTTTTTATGCTAGCTTACCCTTTGTGTTTCCATGTGGTTGGACTGCTATGATCGTACTATGTACGGGAGCAGAGCAGGGATAGGTGGTGGATAGTGATGAGTCGACAGCTGGTAGATGGAGTTGACTTCTATGGATGCTTTGTTTGTTTTGGTCATTTGGCATAATGACTTTTGATGTAATTCTTGTATTGCATGCCCTAACTCTAGTCGGACTCGGGACATATGTATATATTTATATTCTAGACTCTATATCTATATACTTGTTCTATTCTGTCTGGGATTTCTGGTATGTTATGGTGGTAAGTGTAGTGGCTTGCCGGGTCGTTACACTTTTGTGGTATCAGAGCAGGTCGAGTCTAGTGGAAAACTCTTTGGGGGTGGTTCCTTTAGGCTTTTGTTGTGCTGTCTCTGTGATGTGCTGTCTTGTTGTGTTGTTTGCTGTGCTGATTGGTGTGATGAACTGTTGTGTTGTTAATTGTTGTTTGATTGAGTGGTAGGGTACTAAAGATGCTGTTATTTTTGTAGACGATGACTAGAACCAACGAACAGATAGCCCGTGCCATAGTAATGATGGCTATGGCTATGCAACAACAGAATGCATATTTTGCTAGGATGGAAGTTGAGAGAGCTGCAGCTGGTGCAGCAAGACCCACGGGGTCACAGGAGAGCCGGGACCTAGCTGAGTTCCGGAAGTGTCATCCCCCGCAGTTTACGCGTGAAGCGGATCTAGAGGTAGCTGACCGCTGGATACGTGAGTTAGAGAAGATCTTTAATGTTCTGGGATGTTCTCCGGAGAAGAGATTGGCGTATGCTGTGTATATGCTGGTGGGAGAGGTCGAGCATTGGTGGAGAAACACTTACCAGATGCTTACTGCTCGGGGAGTTACAGTTGATTGGGAGTGTTTCAGGACCGTATTCATGGAGAAGTATTATCCGGAGAGCATGAGGCACGCCAAGGAGGCTGAGTTTTTGCGATTGCATCAGGGTGGGTTATCTATATCAGAGTATGCATTGAGGTTTGAGCACTTGGCTCGTTTTTATTCACAGGCTATTTCTGAAGCCTAGAAGTGCAGAAAATTTGCAGGTCTCTGCCCTCCCCGCGCTGGGCGCGGGTTTGGGCACGCCGGGCGCGTGGGGCCCTTGGGGTCTCTGCCTGGCAAGCGTTGGGCGCAATTGGTTATTGCGCCAAGCGCGAGGGAGCCTTGGGTTCTCTGGCTGAGTCCCGCCGGGCGCGGGCACACCTGTGCTGGGCGCGCTGACCCCCTGGTGCTCTCTGGTTGTGTTGCACTGGGCGCAACCACGTATGCGCCGGGCGCGGAGATGAGATTGTTGTGTATGATGTTTTTATGTTGAGTTGAATTGAAATGGAAGGTTATGAAATGATGTCTAGTAGATAATGTAGTTGTTGATATTGAATTGTATCTGGTGAATGTGTTGAGAAGTGGTGTTGTGTTGTAGATGATATGTTGAGTTGTGAAGCAGTTGTGTTGAGTTGCAAGTTGATATGTTGAGTTGTATAAGTTGTGTTGTGTTGGAATGTTGATGTACGCATTTCAACTCGGAGATCTCCTACAGCATGGGTGAGCATTTTAAGTGGCTAAGTCCTACCGAACCGACAACAAAGAACCTTTTTGGGCTTGCTAGGTAAACAAAAAATTTGGATGCCAATCCACAGCACGATAACGATTTCTCAAACTTTGCCACTTAAACAAGGAAGTATAGTACTATATCAGGATAGAACAGCTGGGTTTTAGGCCTACCACGACATTAGCTAGCTTACCTAAGCCACCTATGAAATTAGCCTACCGACTATCCTCCAAATACTACAACCTTCTGATACTCAGTTAGGAACTAAGTTCCTGACTTAGTACTTTACTCGATTGGCCGCTTGTATGGCTTTTTCTTTTGGCTATTTTCTTGCTTTTTATTTTGCAAAATATTTTTCTCTTATTTTTCTTTTGATGTTCAGGAGTTTCAATGCCTTTTAAACACTTAGAAGTCTCGGATTTAATGTAAAAATTCTGCAGCAAAAATTTCACACAAAACAAGAGGTGTTTTCATGCATTTTATAACTAGTGCTTCACTATTTTGTATTCTTTTTATGTCAAATTTTTAAGCACTCATTCTTTTGTTTTTCTCATGCATTTAAGACACTCACACCTCTGTTTTGGTTCTGTTTTAAGGCTAAAAAAATTGCACAAAGTTTCAGCCACACACAAGACTCAAGGAAACCTAGTAGGAATTAGTGTTTAACAATTTTTTTGACAAAAAAAAATGTTATTTTTTTAATAAAAATATTAAATTTGAATTCATACTATTACGATAAAAATATGTTTAAGAAATAAAAGTAGAAATGCAAGTAATTTAAAAATTGGAATTCGAAAGGAAAAATAAAGATATGAAAAAAAGTGAAGTATTTATTTTTTGTAAAACATGTAAAAGTTGAAATAGTTGGTAAAAAAGAGAGGAAACTAATAGAAAAAAATGATTATTAGTGATGGTTTTTCATGGTTGTGTATGTGCGGTAACTAAAAAAAAAAGTAAAAACTAATAAAATTTTTCATGCAGTTACTTAAAAAATAAAGTATTAGTATATATAGTTGCAAATTTGGACATCTCCCTTAAAAATAATTAAGAATAAAGAAGTAAAGAAAAAAAAATTAAAACACCAAACTAAGATATCGTTTTATTAATATTTTTTTTAATTTTTTAAATCAATTAATCGTAAGCGGAGTAAGTCTGAGTATGGAGTGAGTTCTAACTTAGTTGGGAACAATAGTCAAGCCAAAGTTCTAGAAAATCTATCTGTTGGCATTGAGACTATAGCCGCCAATTTTGAAAAAATGTCTAACTTGATGGAGAAAAGAGAAAGATACCAAGAGAGAAAGGGAAATATTTGGAGTGTCATAAAAGAGATCCCAAATTTGGATGATCGAACTCGCTACATGGCAGTTGATTTGCTCGATACTAATGCAAAGAAAGACTTTTTCTTGATGTTGTCAATAAAAGAACGTTCATATTGGATAAAGTACAAGTTTGAACAATATTATTTTGATGTTATTTTGATTGCACTTGATTTCAGTATTTTTTTTTATAATTTGGTTGTGTATGAACACATGTTGAATTTGTCAAACTATATTGTTTTGGTGTTATTTTGGTTGTACTTGATTGAAGTGTTTGCTTTATATTTTGGTTGTGTATGAGCACATTTTGAATGGTGGAATTATATTGTTTTGGAGTTATTTTGGTCGTACTTAATTGAAATATTTTAACATGTTTTATTTTTTATTATATTATTATTTTTAGTTATATTGTTTTATATAGGTACAATGTCACATTTGAGCATATATGAAGGTAGTGACATAGATGAATAAGCAATGGGTGACAAAGAGATAGATGACAAAGAATTTTATGATACCATGTACGCATGTGTAATGGCAATTCATGCATTAATGCATGTGTTAATTCAGTTTATAGTTATGATACGTAATGAACCAATTGAGTGTCCATTAAATCGACAACGAATTACTAACACGAAAAATGATTATATACACCAAGCATTAAACGATGATCCTACAATATTTTGACAAGTTTATAGGATGTATCTAGATGTATTTCCAAAGTTATGTGAAATTCTTAGAATAAAAATGTAACGACCCGGCTGGCTAGGTCAGCTAGGAATAGTGATGCTATCTGGGTGATTGTAGTCCGGTTAACCAAGTGCGCACACTTCTTGCCTGTCAACATCAAGTGGTCCTTGGAGAGGCTGGCGCAGTTGTATGTGAGGGAAATAGTACGGTTGCACGGGGTGCCGTCCAGTATTATTTCAGACAGAGATCCGAGGTTCACTTCCAGATTTTGGCAGAGTCTACACCAAGCCTTAGGCACGAAGTTGAAGTTGAGCTCTGCTTATCATCCACAAACGGATGGTCAGTCGAAAAGGAAAATCTAGTCCTTGGAGGATCTGCTTAGGGTTTGTGTGTTAGACCACTTGGGTAGCTGGGAGAAGGTCCTACCGTTGGTTGAGTTCACCTACAACAACAGTTTTCACGCAAGCATTGGGATGGCGCCATTCGAAGCGTTGTATGGCAGGAGATGTAGGACTCCTCTGTGCTGGTACCAAGATGGTGAGTCGGTGGTGGTAGGTCCGGAGCTAATCCTACAGACCATTGAGAAAGTGAAGATGATTCAGGAAAGGATAAAGACTGCTTAGAGTAGGCAGAAGTCGTATGCTGACAAGAGGAGGAAGCCTTTGGAGTTTGCTGAAGGGGAGCATGTATTTCTGAAGGTGACTCCGACTTCGGGTGTAGGTAGAGCACTGAAAGCAAGGAAGTTGACACCGAGGTTCGTGGGTCCCCACCAGATCATACAGCGTGTGGGTCCGGTTGCCTATCGGTTGGCTTTGCCACCGTCTCTTTCAAACCTGCACGATGTGTTTCATGTCTCCCAGTTGAGGAAGTACGTCCATGACCCGAGTCATGTGGTGGAGTTAGATGATGTGCAGGTGAAGGAGAACCTGACCTTTGAGAAGTTGCCAGTAGCTGTAATTGATCGTAAACTGAAGGAGCTGAGGGGAAAGTCAATTGCTCTGGTAAAAGTGTTGTGGGATGCAGCTACCGGTGAGGCTACTTGGGAGGTGGAGCAGCAGTTCAGGGAGCGTTACCCATTTCTTTTCCCAAGTAAGTCTGTTTTCGGGGACGAAAACTTTTGTTGTTGGGGAGGTTGTGAGACCCGTAAATGATATACACCTCCTTTCCCCCTCCCCCCAACTCTCATTCAAAAATTCTCTCCTTCACTCTCTTTGTCTCTTTCACCCTTTTTCCTTGTTCTTGAACTTTGGTGGTACTCTATTTGAATTGAAGGTGCTGAGCTTGGTGTGGAAACTAGCTGAAGATTTTCATTCTCCTTTGGTCTCCGTCCGTTCTCTCTTCCTCTTCTCCGTTTCCTTTCCCGAAGCTCGGATTTTTGGCCGAGGTAAGGGAAGCTAGTATTTTTGTTTCTTTTTCACTGTTTTTGGCTGTGGACGAGTTCTAGAAACTCATTTGGATGCTTGTTGATGGCTGGTTCGTGGCTGGATTGAAAGAAAACTTGTTTTTTTGGGGTTTTGGGGTTGTTGAGAAATTTTGGGGAAGATCCTTGATCTGTTATTGCATGTTGAAAAAGGTTGTATTTTTGGACTCTCGGATGAAAATGTAGAAATTTGAACCGATTGCATGTGAAGTTTCTGGTTATTTTGCAGATGTTTGAAGAATTTTTCAAAAATGGAGGGTTGCTGCGGAGCTTCGCGCTGAGCGCTGTTCATCGCGCTGGGCGCGTGGCCACCAGGGGACCCCATTTGGCCAAGCTCGCCGGGCCTGATGATGAGTGCGCCGGGCGCGCTTGAGAATGTGGATCTCTGGTTGGCCCGCGCTGGGTGTGACGTGGATCGCGCTGGGCGCGATACTCGTTGTAACTTGTTTTTGGGTTCTTGAGGTTGCGGTGCGCGCGACCCTTGTCGCGTTGGGCGTGAGACTCCCTAGGAGTCTCTGCCTTGTGGGCGCTGGGCGCAAATTTGAATTGCGCTGGACGCGAGAACAAGGGAGGTCTCTGCCCTCCCCGCGCTGGGCGCGGGTTTGGGCACGCCGGGCGCGTGGGGCCCTTGGGGTCTCTGCCTGGCAAGCGTTGGGCGCAATTGGTTATTGCGCCAAGCGCGAGGGAGCCTTGGGTTCTCTGGCTGAGTCCCGCCGGGCGCGGGCACACCTGTGCTGGGCGCGCTGACCCCCTGGTGCTCTCTGGTTGTGTTGCACTGGGCGCAACCACGTATGCGCCGGGCGCGGAGATGAGATTGTTGTGTATGATGTTTTTATGTTGAGTTGAATTGAAATGGAAGGTTATGAAATGATGTCTAGTAGATAATGTAGTTGTTGATATTGAATTGTATCTGGTGGATGTGTTGAGGAGTGGTGTTGTGTTGTAGGTGATATGTTGAGTTGTGAAGCAGTTGTGTTGAGTTGCAAGTTGATATGTTGAGTTGTATAAGTTGTGTTGTGTTGGAATGTTGATGTAAGTTGATGTAGGCCGCAAGGATGAGTTGTTGTAGGCCGCAGGGCTGAGTTGTTGTAGGCCGCAAGGCTGAGTTGTTGTAGGCCGAAAGGCTGAGTTGTTGTAGGAGATCTCCGAGTTGATATGCGTGACGACGCATTGCATGCTTATTGATGATCATGTTGAAAACCAGCGGAATGTATGTTGATAATTGTAGTTTTTATATTTCCTAAACCTTTATATATGTTGTTCCTTTTTATGCTAGCTTACCCTTTGTGTTTCCATGTGGTTGGACTGCTATGATCGTACTATGTACGGGAGCAGAGCAGGGATAGGTGGTGGATAGTGATGAGTCGACAGCTGGTAGATGGAGTTGACTTCTATGGATGCTTTGTTTGTTTTGGTCATTTGGCATAATGACTTTTGATGTAATTCTTGTATTGCATGCCCTAACTCTAGTCGGACTCGGGACATATGTATATATTTATATTCTAGACTCTATATCTATATACTTATTCTATTCTGTCTGGGGTTTCCGGTGTGTTATGGTGGTAAGTGTAGTGGCCAGCCGGGTCGTTACATTTTTATTCTAAGAATTTCACATAACTTTGGAAATACATCTAGATACATCCTATAAACTTGTCAAAATATTGTAGGATCATCGTTTAATGCTTGGTGTATATAATCATTTTTCGTGTTAGTAATTCGTTGTCGATTTAATGGACACTCAATTGGTTCATTACGTATCATAACTATAAACTGAATTAACACATGCATTAATGCATGAATTGCCATTACACATGCGTACATGGTATCATAAAATTCTTTGTCATCTATCTCTTTGTCACCCATTGCTTATTCATCTATGTCACTACCTTCATATATGCTCAAATGTGACATTGTACCTATATAAAACAATATAACTAAAAATAATAATATAATAAAAAATAAAACATGTTAAAATATTTCAATTAAGTACGACCAAAATAACTCCAAAACAATATAATTCCACCATTCAAAATGTGCTCATACACAACCAAAATATAAAGCAAACACTTCAATCAAGTACAACCAAAATAACACCAAAACAATATAGTTTGACAAATTCAACATGTGTTCATACACAACCAAATTATAAAAAAAAATACTGAAATCAAGTGCAATCAAAATAACATCAAAATAATATTGTTCAAACTTGTACTTTATCCAATATGAACGTTCTTTTATTGACAACATCAAGAAAAAGTCTTTCTTTGCATTAGTATCGAGCAAATCAACTGCCATGTAGCGAGTTCGATCATCCAAATTTGGGATCTCTTTTATGACACTCCAAATATTTCCCTTTCTCTCTTGGTATCTTTCTCTTTTCTCCATCAAGTTAGACATTTTTTCAAAATTGGCGGCTATAGTCTCAATGCCAACAGATAGATTTTCTAGAACTTTGGCTTGACTATTGTTCCCAACTAAGTTAGAACTCACTCCATACTCAGACTTACTCCGCTTACGATTAATTGATTTAAAAAATTAAAAAAAATATTAATAAAACGATATCTTAGTTTGGTGTTTTAATTTTTTTTTCTTTACTTCTTTATTCTTAATTATTTTTAAGGGAGATGTCCAAATTTGCAACTATATATACTAATACTTTATTTTTTAAGTAACTGCATGAAAAATTTTATTAGTTTTTACTTTTTTTTTTAGTTACCGCACATACACAACCATGAAAAACCATCACTAATAATCATTTTTTTCTATTAGTTTCCTCTCTTTTTTACCAACTATTTCAACTTTTACATGTTTTACAAAAAATAAATACTTCACTTTTTTTCATATCTTTATTTTTCCTTTCGAATTCCAATTTTTAAATTACTTGCATTTCTACTTTTATTTCTTAAACATATTTTTATCGTAATAGTATGAATTCAAATTTAATATTTTTATTAAAAAAATAACATTTTTTATTTAAATAAAACTTATAGAATCGCAAAATACCCTGACTCAGTAATTATTATACAATTTTTTAAAAATTAAAATTCTCAACAATAAAAAAGAGTTCCTTTGTATATAAGTTGACTGAATGGATATTTATAGATGGACCTCTATGTTTAGATATTTTCCAAACGGGCCTTTTCTACACGTCACATTTTTGGGTCACTAAAGCCCAAAAAAAAAAAAAAAAAACTCTCCTCAGTCCTTACACATGATAACAGATAAACCTGATTTCCGTGATCATCATCATCATCATCACCATGGCAGCCTCGTCCACCATCAACAACTTCCTCTCCTTCTTCCTGCCAACAAAACCGCCGCAACCGTCACCTCCGCCGCCGCTGCCGCTCCAATTGAACCCCGCCGCCGCCGCCTCTCAGAGGCAGAAACCCTCGCAGCCACTAGTTGCGCAGTACGACCCTTCCGCTTCGGCGGAGTTATCCTCTGTGATATGCCCCTCTCTGGCGTACGCGAACACGCTGTTCTTCCGGTCGCCGTACAACGTGCAGGTGGTGGTGGCCGAGGACGAGCCCGAGGAGCGCCTGCTCAACAGGTTCCGCAGAGAGGTGCTCAAGGCTGGCGTCATTCAGGAGTGTAGGAGGCGAAGGTACTTCGAGAACAAGCAGGAAGAGAAGAAGCGCAAGACGCGTGAAGCTGCCAAGCGTAACCGCAGAAGGTTTTTGATTCCTCTCGTTGCTCCATTTGTAGCTAAAGCAGGATTAGAGTGTGTTTCGATACAAGTTTATAAGTGTTTTTGAGATTTTTAGAGGTTTTATACATGAAAATATTCTTTATTTCCAGTAGAGAAGTTCTTAAAAGTGATTTTAATTTGTATTCAAAGAGACTTTCAATGGAATGGAATTAGGAAGAATATAGGATTAACTATGATTTTAGTTACTTTGCTATTAGTCACTAAAATACTATGTATGCTTTGTTGGGGTTTAAATACTAGGGAGAACTCCACCTATGCCAACAAACCATGCAAGTAAACTTGATACCACCTCTTAACTCAAAACTTTAAGACATTATGTTGATGAGTTTTTCTTAGTTATTCACTACTCAACAATCTCTATTCTATTGGATGTGGGATTTTGCTTCACACTTGAACTCTAACATGTTAGGATAAGTTTTTTAAGAAGGCATTCTAGCAAGGAAAATTAGGAATCAAATATATGCATAGAAGCCCTCTTATGATAGCTTCTCTGAAATCTTATCTTTAACTTAGATAACTTATTTTGATCTTGCTTAGTATTTTATCTTTCTTCAAGAAGTGTTATCAGGGACGTTTATTCAAATAGACCTAATAGTTTTGTTTCTCTCACCCAGAAAATGTGTCATGTGTTATTCGTATTTTTTATAAATAGGTGAATGTTTGCTTTAAGTCACTTGAAAATAAATAATCTCTTTTGGTTTCTCGTTTATGGAAAATATGCGACATGTGGTTTTTATTTTGGTAAGTGAGGTGTGAAGGACAAAGGGGGACTAAAAGGAGATGTTTTATATTTTAGAGACTAAAATTGAAATTGTATTGCTTGGACTAAAATCATATTTAATTTTAAAAAATAAATGAATACATAAATAAATTGTTTTGATTATTTTTGGATGGATAACTTGCTGTGTTGGGGATTCGTATTGGGAGGGGGTGGAGTTGGATTGATTTATTGGGGGTCGCTAAAGTTTTGAACTGTAGTTTTCAATTGAAATTATGGCTGCAATGTTGAAATTTTGGGGCTTTTGTAACTGCATCAGAGCTGCTGTTACTTGTTGTATTTGCTTTTGCTAGCAATTTTATATGATATCAAGATTTTGAAAGTCTTTGCGTCCACAAGTGCAGTTTAAAAGCTTTGAGGTGGCCAAAGAGAAGAACAGTGTCAATTGAAAAGAAGGTTTAATTACCTTTTTTTGTGCTATAGTTTCATAAACTCTACCTTTTTAGTCCCTGTAATTAAACGATTTTCACTTTCATCCCTAACTCCCTATGCATACCATTTTTTTTCCTTTTAAGTTTTAACCCCTATAATTGCATAAACTTTTCCTTTAGTCCTTATAGTTGCATAAACTTTTCCTTTTAATCCTTATAATTGCATAAACTTCTCCATTTAGTGCCTACAAAAATAGACGACTGAGACTAAACGGGAACACAAATGGGATGTTTTAACTATAAGGACTAAATGGTAAAGTTTATGAAACTATAGGGATCAAAAGGGTAATTAAACCTGAAACAAATAGTTAAAAAGGATTGGTATCCACCTGGGTGGATTGTGAGAGGAAAGGTTGTGCAATTTGTCTTGTGGAAAGAGGGATAAACACAGACTGTAAACAGGTGCAGCCTATTGATTGTTTTGTTCCTTTATGGATGGATAACTTGTTGCATTGATGATTCATGCTGGATGGGTTGTGATGGTGGATCTGTTATGTGATGTTTGTCTTAATTTGTGTAATTTATGGGTTTTCATGTGAGCAGATGGTTAAACACAAAGATCATAAAAGGTTGGGTCTGTTAAAATGTTTTGTAAGGTAGACAACATGAGTACTACATTAGGATTTTAGTGTAAGGTGTATAATATATGGTGTAGCTCTCTAGGATACTAATTGTTAAGAACCTTGGTAGAACCAAACCACAATAGTTAGCCATTATAGTATTAGTTGGAGAGTTCAAGGCCTTATAAACCTCCCTAGAGTCTCATACTTCCTATGTTGAACTCAAGTTACATACCTTGCAATTGGCTCCTATTAGGGACCCTAATTGTGTCCTTCGCATCCATTTGTCATGTCAGGTTTAATATTTGGATTTGAAAGGATTCATTCATCATTTGTGTTATTGTTTTCGTTACTGTTATCGATACTGAATAGCTGCATGTGGGGGTAAGATTGCGACATTGTGTACATAGTTTTTCTGCCCAAGTGCCTTGAAGGGCTCATGGACACATGGGCTCAAATCCTGAACATTATCACTGAAAACCCTGTTACCCAGCTAAGCAGCCCTTTCCTTTTTTCTCAAGAGTCAAATCTATTCATAAACCAGGGAGACAGGGATCTGTTTGGCAGAATGATGGTAACTTGTTCTTTTACAATGTTATGGAGCTTTGTACTGTTTTATGTTATCCATTGTTGAGTCTATATTTCTTGTCTAACTTGCGCTTTGTCTGCTTATCTGCTATTTGTTGGCCCCTAGAATTGCATTGCTACCGGGTGCCTCGCAATATTTTATTGTGTGCAAAGTGTAAGGTGGTGGGAGAGGTATTTCTGGTTAGATATATTCATTAGCAAAGAATAATTGAATTTTGATACTTGTCTTCGTTACATCTTTTTCAGGAGGCCTATGCTAAAAACTTTGGCACAGAAAAAGCAGGATGTCCCTGCAACCAAGAGGGAGGAGGATGAGGATAACTGGGATCTTCCTGAAGGAGACACCCTGTATTAACCCTTTGGTTCCCGAAGTTCTGTAGGTTTCTTTGAGTTCCCTGCATGTAAGTTTTGTTAAGCAAATGTGTTCCTTACTTGGTGTATGTTGAACTGTGTTTTCTTTTATTAGTAAGAAAATAATGTTGAACTCTGTTTAACTCAATACAATGTAATTTGTCTGTCTGTACATTAAAATTTTGTTATGCCCTTGATTCTCTGAATTCTTGCATCAACTTCTTTTTCACCCTCTTTCATCAATTTATTAGTTGCCTAATTTACCAGACATGTAGAAGTTTATAGTTACTTTACTAATACGAAAAAGAGGCGTTATAGTAAGATAATTTACATTAAGTGCAAATGTCTTCCTCTTTGGGCAGTGAATATTTTTTTAGTTAGAGTGAAATATGTTTAAAATGAGATGGTAGCTTGTTCATTTCAGCTGTAATCGTAATGAAAATTTAAAATAATCCAAGTGTTTTGAAGTTTGCTTTTTGTTTGGAGTATATTGCATAGTATTTTTCATCCATGGTTTTTTAATCATTTTTGTGCTAGAGATGATAAATTCAAGTTACTGAGACACAATTTTAGTGATTTACTGGCCATGCATTATATGTTATTTGACTATCGTTGGGTGATTGTTATTTGGGTCGCTGCTCTTTTAACACAAGGTGTTACAAAAATCCTCGATCACATTGGACCTAGTCATTCTTAATGATAAGGTTAGACACCTTATTACAGGGTGGGTTAAGTCTGTGGAGCTATCAGCATCTAGATTACAGATTTGGATCTTCTGCAATTAAATTTGAATTGCAGACCGCTGCAATCATTCAAATGATTTATTTTAGTTAAAAATATAAACAAATTAAAAAGGAAATGCTAGAACCCTGAGACTGTTACAGATATTGTGAATATATTACAGATATTGTGGA